CAGAGCACTAGATTAGCCCTATTGTGTAACTTTGTGCTTAACTTCAAACACGCAACAAACATAAACGAAAAACATATTTCAAATTTTATTTAAAAACAAACTGTAAAAACAGAACATTTGTTAAAAAACATATTTACATTCTTTTACGCCATTTGAAACATACTTTACAAATATACCAATCCCGGAATTTTCTGAAATATAATTTTAGTTCGTTTTAAAAGCAATTAACTCCAGTTTATTTACATAACAATACATATAAAACCTTACACATTTATTTTAAGTAGCTTAAATAGCTTCACTGGGTATGAATGGATTCGGAAAAAGTGTATAAAAAGTACATAGGACGTTAGAGCTACGTTTTTAACATTTCCAGATCATTGAATAACGTTGTGTTAGCTGGACGAAGCTGCTACAAACAACCTTAATACCATGCACTGATATAAAGAGCCGAAAAGAGCACCATTAAGAATCTGACTACTGGCTCTCTGTTTCCATTAGAGACTTAGCAACCGTAAAACAAACAGCGGATTATAATGGTTCTCTCATCAGTTTTTAATTAAGTACATAGGAGATTAAAGTTAGGAAGAACGTAGTGGTACTTATAGTTCAAAAATACCCTAACGTAGTGAAAAGTATATAATCCGTTTTATATTATCAAAATAGGTCTAATACCTTATGAATATTTCAACATATTGTTTTGATTCAAATCTGAATTACTTCTCTATATATACAGAAGAATAGTTCTTATTGATATTTGTTTTATCCGATAAACTTATTAAGCGTTCTCAGACAGCAACAAATAAATATAATTCTACGTCGTAAATCGACAAATACGACGAATAAAACGAAAATCTGAGAAAGAGAGTTCGTGTAGCACATAAGTTTCTCTCAGTTGTGAATCAGTTTATCACATTTTGGACAGCGCATATACGGTGGTTTTTCTCCTCAGGCCGATGTCTTTGTCTCAAATAAATGACCAACTTCCACAGTAGACCAGGGCGTTCCATATTTTCAAGGCACGTGAGGCTGAATAGCTAAAAAATACGAGAACAAAATTCGCTCGGTAAATACGAGATCGTTTTATCAAGCCTAATAAACAAAATTTCCGCTATATTTGACTCTTTCAAAGAGAAGTTGTGTCGAATCTGTTGTACCACACAACCAGTAAGTATAACAATTCATTTACAGATATTTTAGAAAAATATTTGCGTTTAAGTATTAAGTGGCATAGGTATTTATGTAATCTACTGAAAAGTGTCATATATCGACTAAGTATTTCTTCCTTTAATTACAACTTACACAAAACATGCATATAAAACATTTACGTAGAACAAAATACTGATTTGTATAGAACATAACTATCAGAACTATATTTTTGCATTTTAGGCTAGCTCGGTTATTATACCGTTTGTTCATCTTAGTTACAATTTTAAGGTTAATTCATTAATTTATAGTGACATCTACTGGAAAAGATATATATTACTGATAGTATATTGCTATGTCATCAATTACGTTTGAAGGCAAAAATGAAACTATGGTGAGCTGTTGTATTGTAAGCAAAGTTTAGAAAGAAAAAGGTGTTTAAAGAGTGATTAATAATTATTGTTAAGTTAATCTTGAAACCAAAAAAATAAGAAGAAAGTAAAGCAATAAAATTGAAATATTTTCTGTAGTTAAAAAGTTGGAAATGTACAATGTTTACCTACAAAAAAAAGCCTTCTCATCGGACAAGTATTCAAAACTTCAAACAAACCAATTGGCGAATTTAACAAAATCGTCGTATTCGTAATTAAGCTCAGCTACGTCGGAACAGTTTGTTGTTCCGTTAGGATAACAGTCACTGGTGCTAAGAGTTGACAATGAGATGTCATTCGTTGTGCTACCCGGTGAGGATGGAGTTTCATAGCCAGTGCTCCCGGTTGGGGATAAGGTACCCTGCTGGAAATTAGCAATGATAGTCGCTGTCTCAGCTCCTAGATGAGACGCGGAAAGTGATGGAACTTCTGAAGAAAGACAGGATGAAACTGTTGATGAAGGATAGGTCGGTGATAAGCTACAGGTCAAAGTGGAACAAGCAGGATCACATTCAGCTTCTGTTGTCGGGATGGTGAGCAATGTTCCATCATAATAGTCGCTCTCATCCTGATGAGCCAAAAGTTCTTGTAGTTGTTTTATGTATTCCACGGCAGATCGTAACGTTTCCACTTTGCTCATCTTCCTATTCTTGGTACCATTTGGCACGTGCTGTCGAAGCGTAGCAAAACCCATGTTCACGAGTCGCACGCGGTTTCTCTCGCGCTCATTTCTTCTAGCTACTGCTGCCGGTCGACACTGTTGCATCAGGAACCCCAATGCCTCGCATGAATTCCGACGTTTGCAGCGTAAAAAATCGGAAGGGTTTTCATTCCGCATACTCAATTTTGTTGATATAAGCGTTTAAACAGCCTAGAATTAAAAAAATAGAGCAATGGCGAAGTTCTTGCTCGATGTCAGTGGAATTTCAGTATCTTATATACGCATAGGTATTTCAGTCTCTTTCTCTATTAAAAAATTACGTTCAAGCCTCGTGGATGCTATCAAACAAATTCACGTGAGTCGAAGTAAAAACCACCTCAATCGAACGCTGGGAGAAGTAGTGAAAATCCCTATCGTAGGACAGTGGAAAAGTGTGTCGTCCGAGACCTCTTCCCGTTAAAAAACCTTCATCTCATGAATACTAAGCTCCTCCTCCTAACAGCTGCCATTGTACACTGTATTCTCTCATTCTACAAATTTCGTGTGCGGGACGCGTGGCCCTGACAGCGGCGCAACTAAACAACACGACAGTGCCTCAGGGGCTCAGACTCCATCCCGCGTCTCGCTAAAGCCAAGGATGTCGACTCAGTTACGACAACGGTTATAAAGTTTTATCTTCTCTTCTCATGATCCTTGTGGTTTACGAACAAATGTCTTTTATAAAAGAAGAAAGATCCGAAACGGTGGACTGATGTCCATTATTTGTATCAAATGAAGAAATGTTAAGATAAGAAAAAATATATATATATATAAAAAGATCGCCTTGAAACTTTGTGTGACTGCTTTTTAATATATTTGTGAAATGGTGATTTTTCTTGAAATTCGTCATGGTTTGAATTATACAAAAACCTGTCATCAAAAGCACATGTTGGCCAATTGCCAAGGTCGTGTGCCATAGGAATAGACGCCAGCCGTCAACTATTTCAATGTCATTACGGCACGCGCCCAGCACGAGCCTTTTGCTTGTCATAGTGACACGCGCCAACCAGTGCTGGCCTGTTTTTTTTCTCTCTCTTTTTTTTTTTTCGAGCTCTTTTCCAATATGCTGTTAGTAGCGTTAGTTCATGCCCAGACAGCGCCATCTTATGATTTTATGTGAAACTAGTGTGCATAAATGCTTTACTCTAGAGCTGGCCCCCCAGTAGCACAGCGGTATGTCTGCGGACTTACGACGCTAGAAACCGGGTTTCGATACCCGTGGTGGGCAGAGCACAGATAGCCCTTTGTGTAGCTTTGTGCCTAACTACAAACAAACAAACATACTCTAGAGCTGACGTAGTTCAGAAATGTTTTCAAGTAATGAAGACTCGTTCATTTTTAATACCCAGGGGCACGTTTAAGAGACGTTTACTTATAAAAATAATACCAAATTCTGTGTTTAAAATTAAATCATGTGGTAAACTGGTTGTATTTGTAGGTGATCTATGAATGAATAAAGGTTTTATTTAGGTTTTCTTGAGAGTGCATAGGTATTGCACAAGCTTTCATTTGTTTTGTTTGTTTGTTTGTTTGTTTTTTGTGGTTGAGCGCAAAGCTACAGAATGGGCAATCTCTTTATCACCTTCCACTCCACATTTGCATACGTTTTTCCATTAAGATGGT